AATGGAAGATAAATGCATTGCTGTAAAATTTAGTGGTAAACTACCAAAGAATATGCAAATGTTTTTTGGAAGCAGGGAGAATGACATTCCATTCAGATTAGGATTAATTAAGGACACTTTTAGAATGATAGAGCTGAATTGTAAAATCAAGGCAGGATTAATCTTCTAAGCAGAGGGAACACAGGCCAGGGAAGAGTGTGGTGTTCACACTACCTCCTGCTTGTCACAAATCAACTAAGGTCTGAGGGAGTTTGCCTTACTAGAATAATGCTTCCTTCCTGAAAATTGGGGTGAAAAGCATTTATTCTGAAAAATTATTTTTCAGAAGTGTATTCTGGGCCTATACAGAAAGAAAAATTAAGAGATCTTGGGTATAGCTGATGCCAGGAACTACATTGATAAGAAGGAACCTATAGGCCAAGGACAGATAGTATAATCATATATAAACAGTACTTAGAAAACTAATCTAGGGTCCCAGTTTTGTTTTTGGCAAAGTTAAATCTGCTAATTGTAAAGTTAATGCTATTTTTGTCTTCTTTTTTTTCACCAGGGATAATCAATAAGACATATTGGTCAGTTGGGGAAGGGATGGGTAGTAAAAGATCCATCTATCTCATTAAGTTACCCAAGGTTATATGGTGTCCATAGGGAGAATTTACCACAGGCTTTTAAATGCCTTTCCTCATGATGTGAGCTAAATTGTCACTGTCACTGTCTTCCCGTTGTTTTTTTGATTTGCTCAAGCGGGCCCAGTAACGTCTCCATTTTGAGACTTATTGTTACTGTGTTTGGCATATTGAATATGTCACAGGTAGCTTTCCAGGCTTTGCCGTGTGGGCAAGATACTCTCGGTAGCTTGCCGGGTTCTCTGAGAGGGGCGGAGGAATCGAACCTGGCTCAGCCAGGCTGTCTCTGAGTAAGGCAAACACCCTACCTCTGTTCTATTGCTCTAGCTGGGCTAAATTACTGAAACCATATGGAACCAATGGAACTTACTGTCCAGAAGAAAATTTATCTCATTTTTTACTCCACATTCATTTTAATTTCTCTTGTTTCTTCAAGATATATCCTTTCTTATCCTAGAAGATACTGTCTCTTTTTAGTTTTTCTAGTCAAGATGATAAAAGCCTAGACTTTTGGTAAGTGCAGAAAAACTATGCCATTCACATACCCACCATTCTCTTTTGTTCATAGCACAAAACTTACCAATCTGTAAATTGAGACTCAAGGGAGTTTCTTAGCCAGACCAAGGAAGTAATATCTTTAAGAACATTGCCTGGGGCCCAAGGAAATTTCTAGATTTTAATTAGTGTTAAGTAATAGGGTACATATACATATATTCTCAACTTATATATAATACATTCTATCATATTATCATATATATCTTATTTTATCTCTACATATCAATATATGGTGAGCAGCTTTAAATATCCTACTAGGCATCTATATACATATATGTATATATAACTCTTATATATAAATATATATAGCTTTTATACTCAATAAATTTATTTGAGGGTCATGCCCCTGTGCTCAGGGCTTAATTCTGGCTTTGTGCTCAGGAATCATTTACGATGGTGCTCAGTATTCATATATGTTGCTAGGGATTCAACCTGGGTCAGCCTATTCAAGGCAAACACCTTACTTTCTGTACTATCTCTATGGCTCTTACCCTTTTCTTACTCACAATTTTTATGCATTCTTTCAACTCTAACAGAAAGATAACCTTGAGGTACATAACCATGTGAAGGTACTGACAAATAAACATGAAAGAAGACCCTTGGAAATCTTCTGGATTTGGGAGTTTTAAATGTTACCATTTCTATGAATGTGGCAACTCCTCTTACAAGTCGCTCACAAATATATAATGGATATAGCTGGGAAGTCAAATGGAGCAGAAGTGATGAGATTAGATGCAATGCAGTGTCCCATTGTGGAATGAAAGAAACACATGTTTTCTTTCTTTCTTTTTTTTTTTTTTTTTTGCTTTTTGGGTCATACCTGGCGATGCACAGGGGTTACTCCTGGCTCTGCACTCAGGAGTTACTCCTGGCGGTGCTCAGGGGACCATATGGGATGCCGGGAATTGAACTCAGGCTGGCTGCATGCAAGGCAAATGCCCTACCCGCTGTTCTATCTCTCCAGCCCCAACACATGCTTTCTGTGCCTTCATTATAGTATGAATGCAGTGGAGAAAGTTATTAGACTTGAGGAGAAAGTAATTATGAGAAGACAAAGAAAGAACTCAGCAGACAAATGGTTGAATGAATGAAATGTTCAAAACTTCTCAGTACTGTCATATGACTCCTTATTGCTAACACACACACACACACACACACACACTATACAAAGACATAAAAAATAGCTCATGCAAAATCACATATGCACATATACCTGGATACTCAGTCACACTCATTCACTCAAATGTACAAAGACCCTTGGTTCTAAGTAAACTTGATAAAAAAAAAACTTGATTCAAGCTTGAGGGACAGTGAGAAGGAAAACAAACTTCAAATCGGTTGAGACTACATTTCCAAGCTTTTAGAGTTGCTATCTATTGAGAGTTTGGCCATAAAGAAGACATTAAATTGAGATCAAAGATATAGTTATTAATTCTTGTCCACTTTAGTGGTGATCTGAGATGCACTCTTGTTATATAATGAAAGCACAGACTTAAGGTCAGATAGGCTTAAGAAATGCTGAGCAAAAACAATTGAACAGATTTTTTCACTCCAGGACCTGCCAGAACTTTTATATGCTGGTATAATTTTCCAAAATTTAAGTGAACACAAAACTTTATTTCAGGAACAGTTCTGGTTTAGGAAACACTGTCTTAGCTTCAGATGCTGATTTGGTGAAGATGATATGCATAAATGGATTATACCAGATTTTGTTTTTGTTTTTTAGAATAATTTTGACTACAAAATTCTCTGTTCAACCAGAATTTCCTTGACTTGTCCCTTAATCTTCTTTCTTTCACATCAACTGAACATCTTGAAAAATTTTCTTGAAGAGTTCAGAGCAATAATATATTGAGTAGAACTTTTGCCTCACATGCAGCCAACCCTGGTTTGATTCTAGGTACCCCATAGAGTCCCATAAACCCTGTAGGTGTCCTCTTATTCCCAGAACACAGAAGCAGGAGTAAGTCTGGAGCACTGCCAGGTGCTGCTCCCTCCAAAAAAGTTTTTTCTAATATTTTGGATCCAGATAGTTAATTTTTTGACTTTTAAATATAGAGAAATAATAAAGTTAAATATTCCTGAAAATGTTAATTGACATACTTTTTGGAAAATAAGTGGAATATTCTTTCTTCTGTATGACAGTAGCTTAAGATATGTTTTATTGAATTGGATGTAGGACCTGCCACTAACTAAGCTCAAATAGCTCAGATACATGTTTCCATGTTCCTTTCAATCATATTAATAAAGACTTGATACAGTGCATCAGGATTTCTGTCAGGTGCTTCTATCCTTGGGGATTATTATTATCCATATTAGAATTCTCTCCAGAATACAACTCTAACCATTCTCATCCACATCAAAGATGTGAGCTTCTTGAGGGCAAGGATCGGAGAATGCATCTGTTTATAGACTAACATTATGCCTAGGTAATGGCAGTTGCTAACACATGTTTGTAAAATAAAATGTAGGATGTTAAATTGCCAATGGTTCAGAAACTCTTGTCTAACATTTACAGAAAAATACAGAGCAGGAAGTAGAAGCATTATAAATACATCAGAGACCATGTTCACCTAGATAAGTGGATTTAATGGCCTAGTATGAAAGAACAGCTGTCATTTTCTAGTTACTAAAAATAAAAAGGTTGCCCATTATGAGCCAGGGGCTTAAGCATTTGATGCAGATCTATCTTGGCTATGATATAGTGTCTTACTACTATAAGTAATATACGCGTGCCCTCATTTTGTTATTGTTGTTGTTTTATTAAACAGTTAAAGACCTCCCATTTCTACAGTGCAGATAAATCCTCTTTACTTCAGTTCTGTTCTTCCACGACTAATTTACAGATACTGTCATAGTCACAAAAAGTACTTGTTGCTGCCAGAATCTGTCATTGGTGCTTTGTTCACAGACTGCTAGCTGCTGGCTAAATTCTCTCTGGGTGATTGCCTCCTGCTTCATTAACTTTATGCACCCTGGTGGAGACAGGGTGATGGCTGCCAAGAGACCAGGGAAGGAAAGGTAGAAATAGCCCTCTGTGGAGTGAGTTTGGGGGATGATGGGTAAAAGCAATCCGCTTCCTCTGCTGGGGAGAAAAAAGATGACTTTTTTCTAGCTGCAATCAGATTGAGGTTGTGCTGTTTGTCAATGAAATCAAGGGTGAGTTGCTACTACTTTCATACTAGAACTGAAATATAGAGAAATCTTTTCTTCAAAATGATTTCAGAAGGAGAAATTATCACACAAACTGCAAAGAGATGATATTTATGGCTCCACTGAAATCTCCACTGAAATGTGAAGAAAAAGCAACAGGAGCTAAAATACTGACTTAGGAATTATTGGAAAAAGATATAAATCATGGTTATAAATTATGTTTTGTTTCTGTTTTCAAATATATTTGAGGTAAATTATGGACCACTCACCGAACTATGAACTACATATTTAAGCCACATTTTAAGGACAGAATGCTAATTATGAAAAATAAATGGTGCCAATGTAGACAGTAAGATAAATCTCAAAGTGCATGACTTTCTACTTGAACAACACTTCCTAGAAAGACTGTAGGTTAATGTTTAACCTTTCAAGATTAAAACATTAATCAAATATTCTCAGTGTGAATGGAGATTTATAGAGCAATTTCTCGAAAATAAATAAACTATAAAAGTATAATGTGTTTGCTTGACATGTACGGTGAGAAACTTCATTTCACTTCACTGAGTGTGGCAGCTTTGCTGGGATAGTGCAAAGGATGATAATGCCTGTGGTTTTATAACTCCCAAGACAGAAATCATTTTGAAAGACAGTGCTGTACGTGCTTACCTCTCACAGCGTGGTCCTGCGTACCCGGCAGGGCATTCATCACAGATCAATCCGAGACTGCGGTCTAAATGACACGTCGGGCTAAAGCTAGGGGAAAACAGAAAGAAGGAAGAAGCAGACACAAGTCATTAGCGGTTTATTTTCATTTTTCTTTCCCTGATACTGCTGTAACCCTAAAGTACAGGCTGGTCATTCCTCTCTTACAGATAGATAGGGATCTGGCCAATTGAGGGTGAAATGACATCGCTATTTCTGCAGACATGAAGATAGCCCTGTGGAGAGCAATATCTCTGTGGCATGTTTTTAACTGACTTTTGACTCTTCTGGGTCCATTCTCATCAATAACAAGTGGGACTGTTATCCCTACAGCTGTTTTGCGGGGATTCCCCAGGCCTCGCAAAACACAGTCTCACACTCATTCTCTTTAGTCAAATTATTCTGAATTTGAAGCATTCGCTAAATCTATTAGAGATTTGGAAATACAATACAAGGATTGGAAGTGATGATTGGATTGGTGGAGAGTAGTGTGGAGGTCCTAGTCCTAATACTATGTCATGTGTATATGTTACACATGACATATGTTACTCACAGCCTTCTGCCCACGTATTCATGGATATGATCTTTACATGGATAGAATCCTTTAAAAATATTCCAGAAGAGATTGAGTGTTCACATTGGATCTAAATTTATGGTAAATCAAAACAACTTTGCTCTCTGGCATGTCCCAAAGTTGACCTCACTTTGTAAATATATTCAACTTGGATCTGAACTGAATTGAACATCAAGTGAGGAACCAGAGGAAAATTGACAAGATAGTTTTAGCCTCCAACAAATGTAACTCCCAGACTTCTTTGTCTTGAGAGATACTTCTCATGCATGATCTCTGACCCCACGATTGACACAATGGCTCTCTGAAAAGCCATCAACCATTACAAATTGTAAGTTCTGCTGTTCTATTATTTTAAAAACAAATATGCCCCCAATTAATCTTTCTCCAATTATGTTTTCCCTAAATAGATTTATTTTTTATTATATGTGACAGTACAATTCAGCAGAGGCTTGCATGATGGCTAATAAATGAAAGAGAGAACAACAAATTAAATACTTCAAGTTCCGATCTTGCTCTGCTCCTGACACTTGCATAACTTGGAAGCACTTTTTAAAATTTTCTGCAAATCAGCCATAGATACTACTTCTGAAAAAAAATTCACATAGAACTCATTATGATTTAATAATTATGATTTATTTTACATGATATTTATATTATGATTTAATATTTTTATTTTTAATAGTAGAAAATGATTATAACCAAGTAGTTCTAACATTTTTAGCACTAAACTGAGTGGAATGTCTACATAAATCTCTTGAGGTAAGATGGGAGCTTTGATCTGAGTACCATAAGTTTATAAATATTAGACAGATAAAATATATCACTTTTAGTAGTTTTAGTGCCTGCCACAACCAGTAGAACTAAGACAAATTCTACCATCATTTGTGAAAGCAGAACTGTCTTTAGGGAACAGTCTGTGGCTCACTATTCATGAACTAAAGGGAATTAACAGTGGATGTTTTATTTGCAGAAGTAATTTCACTAAAGACAAGAGGAAATATAAAATATAAGTAATAGAGTTTGCTCATCCTCACTTCATGATTTGTTATGATTTTCAGATGTAAAAGAAAGGGAAAAGCTGCAACAGTTCTAGAATGCATGTATATCGTATCTTAATATTAAGATTCCCAAATTACCACCTCCCTGTACGTCTGGAAGCTCTGGTAATCACATTCACGCCCCAAAATCGAAACCCAGTTAAAAAAGCTACTCTCCAGCTATACCTTCCCTATAAAAATACTGAACTCCCAGAACAAGCACAGTGACCTGTTGGTACTTGTGTTGCAAACTATAATGCACAAAAGGAGTGAGAGGAAAAAAGAAGAAAACCGCCTGACATAGAGGAAGGCTGGGAATGGTGGGAGGGAAACTGTGGGCCTTGGTGGTGGGAAATTTACACTGGTGAAGGGATGGTGTTAGGATCATTGTATAACTGAAACCCCATCATGAACAGCTTTGAAATAGTCTATCTTACAGTGATTCAAAGTTAAAAAAAATTTTTTTTAAAGGATTCCAACGTACATCATCTCTCTCTCTCTTTTTTTTTTTTTTTTGGTTCTGGGTCACACCTGGTGATGCACAGGGCTTTCTTTCTCTTGTTTTTTTTTTTTTAAGTCAATGTTATTATTTTATTAAACCATAAATATTTTTAAATTTTTTATTAGTGAATCCCCGTGAGGTACAATTACAAACTTACGACTTTCATATTTCAGTCATACAATAACTGTTTACCCATCCATCCACCAGTGCCCATTCTCCTTCCCCAATGTTCACAATATCTTTCCCACCACCCTCACCCCATCTCCCTCCCACCCCACCCTGGCTCTGTGTCAGGGAATTCCCTTTTATTCTCTCTCCTTTTGGGTGTTGCAGTTTCTCCTAGTTTTTCACTCAGGAATTACTCCTGGCGGTGCTCCGGGGACCATATGGGATGCTGGGAATTGAACCTGGGTCAGCTGTGTGCAAAGTAAATGTCCTACCCGCTGTACTATTAATCCAAATTACATCATCTTTGGAGAAACTGACTCTAACTCAATGCTCCAGGATTTCTGCCCATGCAGAATTTGGTGACTGAAAAAAAATATCAGTTATTTTTAAATCTTAATTTATTTTACCATAAGAATTGTCAAAGGTATTTGACAAGACTTCTGATACCTCAAAACTATTTTTAAATAGATTTCATATTCTTTTTTTCTCTTTTTTTGGTCACACCTGGCAATACAAAGCAGTTACTCCTGGCTCTGTACTCAGGAATTACTCCTGATGGGGCTCAGGGGACCATATGGGATGCTGGGAATCAAACCCGTGTCAACTGCATGCAAGGCAAATGCCCTACTCGCTGTGCTATTACTCCAGCCCCATAGATCTCATATTCTTAAATATACTTATGCATCCATTAAAATGATGGGATTAAAATGTGTTATTTGTCAAGAATCAATAATTTTCCAGGGGAAAAAAAGTTAACTATAATAGATTAGATTAACTCTTTATATTTCTAGAGAGCTTTTGCAACCACTTTCATTGCATTGCCACAAAATCCTATTAATATCTGAGACAGTAATAACTTTCCTATCTCAATTACTAGATAATTTCCAGGAGCATTTAGCCACGGAGCTTGAACTTCTAACTTCCCTCCATATAGAGTTAACCAACATTCAACCTACCTATAAGAATTAAGTGATTTAAAAAACGGGTGGGGGTATTGGACCACACTTAACTGTTTTCAGGCATTGTGTTCAGGAATAACTACTAGAGGTGCTCAGGGGACCATATATGGTGCCTGGAGTTCAACCCGGAGATTGCAGGTACAAAACTTGTGCACCTTAGATGCTGTACTAACTCTTAGGTCTGAGAATTAAGTGTCTTCAAAATGTTATCAGTAAAGGGCTGGAGAGATAATACAGTGTGTAAGGTGCTTGTCTTGCATGCAGCCTACTGGTTTTGACACCACAACATAAGGTCCTCTGAACACCACTAGACGTGATCCCAGTCTACAAAACTAGGAACAAGCCCAAATTAAAATAATTAAAAGTAAACTTTTAGTAATAGGAATCTATAGCACAATACATCAAAATAAATCGTCCTTATAAAATACACCTATGAATCTGTTTTACTATTTAAAAAAAAAACACAAATTAAGGGCTGACTCACTTATTACTATCACTGAATTTATTACTACAGGAATTCAAGAGAAAAAATAAAATTAGAACAAGAAATAAACACAGATAACAAGAAAATATCTATTGAATTTAGATTGGCAACCACAACACATTAGCACTGATTCTGGTCAATTTATGAAGCGAACTGTTTCCGACAGAAGGAGAGGGCTGTAAGATCATCATTGACTTCAAATGATTCCAAGATTCTGTCACTTAATTTCACTTGGCAAGCACTAGTTGGCCAGCAAATGGAGTGTTCGATTATCTACTCTATGCCACTGAAGACTAAAGAAATCCAAAAACAACAGGCATTTTCCACAAATAGTAGCACTGTAGCACTGTCCTCCCATTGTTCATTGATTTACTGGAGCGGGCACCAGTAACATCTCATAACAAATTGTGGGACTTGTTACTGTTTTAGGCATATTGAATATGTCACAGGGAGCTTGCCAGGCTTTGTCATGCCGGTGAGATACTCTTGGTAGCTTGATGGGCTCTCCTAGAGGGGTGGAGGAATCGAACCCGGGTCAGCTGGGTGGAAGGCAAACGCCCCTACCCGCTGTGCTATTGTTCCAGCCCCCACAAATAGTATAAGGGGAAAAAGCTATTGTAACAATAAATAGTTGAATCTGAGCATGGAAAGGTTGTTGTAAATAGTGGGTCAAGTTTTACTTTTTGAATTATGATCCATATTGATGACATACATCTGGAGATAAAATGTAGTTAGGTTAAGAAGATATGAACTGAAAAAAAAAGGATAAAATCTATAGTAGGCTGAAAAATCACAAAATGTATAGTCTAATGTGTATGTATTTGGTAGAAAATGAAGATACTGCACTGAACTTCTCACAGTGAATATAAGAGGGACATGAATTGCCTCCTGGACTGTGATGTGATATGAAATTATGATTTCATATGATTTCATAATTATGATTATCTATCTAAAAATTCATATTGGTAAAGTATGGAAGCAAATATTTACATGTATTGCAGCAATTAAATAACATTTCAAAATTTTTAACAAAGTTTTGTTAATTTTATAGGCTTTTAAAAAATTTTATAGTTGAGATATGTTTATTTTACAACAGTGATTTGTTCAATGAGGTATTTTGTTATTTGCTAAATAATATTACATTCATCTTTCCTGACTTTGTATTTGAGTTATTATAAATGATGCCAACGTCCAGATCATTTCCTTTACTGTGAACATTCAGTTTGTCTAATATTAAGCTCTATGCTTATCATATTATTGTTATTTTTGCTATTCTTCTATACAGTCATTTCTATAGCCCCATTGACCATTGACCCCATTGGAAGAAGCATAGAAAGGTGAATCAGAGCACACACACACACACACACACACACACATATATACATACACACATATGTATATACCATATATGCATATATGGTATACATATATATAAGTTCTAATATTGGTTCTGCCACAAATAAGTTGTATGCTCATAATCATGGCATAAATTTCTCTGGAGTTTAATTTTCCTTCTGGTATATAAAACCAGTAAGATCATAATAACCCATATAAATAAAACCTTTATGGAGGGAAGTGCCCTAAAAACAGCTAATACTCTAAAACTGATAAAGCACTGTTCTTTTCCTTTTTCCCTTAAATTTACCTTTCAAGTTAGAATATTTATACTTCTCTAGTATAAGTATAAATTTTAACAATGATTAATCCTTAAGTAAGATAAAATCCAGCATAAAAGTGTCGCATTCTTTTCAAAGTTTAAAGTTTTGTATTCCTGATACAAGAGCAATACTCTCCATTCTGTTTGTAATTGGAATTTATTGAAGACCTATGCTCTGTTTAAGTTTATGCCAATACTATCTTGAATTTTATTAAAGAAATGATAAAATCTATGATGACTGCACTATTCTGTATCAATTCATACACATCTGAAAGGTCCAAAGCAGAAAATCATGTGTATTGTTTCATATTGTAGTTAATCTATAAACTATTTGGTAGAAAATTATTAAATATAAAGAATTAGAACTATATTTTAAGAAAAATGTTTTAAGAAAATTCACTAGCTGAGTACAATCTATAGTTAGCTTAAATATTCATCAGCAAGATGAGAGGGCCAAGTAAATAGTGGACACTGTAAATATCTGATGAATTTGATATATACGTATTGTTTAATATTATATGCTTGTCTGTATTCATACATCATAATAATTATACCAATCTATCTCTATCTCCCTACACATTGGATTTATTTAGCAATATTATCTAAGAAATTTGGAGCCCAAATGCTTGTGATCTTTAAGATTTATAGCCAAGGATTAAATAGATAAATCACTATGGCAAAACTATCAGTAAGACTTATACTTTGAGATGAAGGTTGCAGCAACCTTTAGCTCAAATTTTTTTCTTTCTGAGTTAACTGTGAAACTTCAAGTCTTTGCTTATGAATATTCAACTCAGAATTATAATAGTGATGATATTTTTAAAAATTAAAATTGCTCCCTCAGTCATGAAAGCATATCATTGTGTAATGATTTTAAAACATTAAAATGTATAATTTAAAATTAATATTAAGCATCACAATAAAGTTTAGCTATATGTATTTTTAATGCTGTTTAAATTAAAAATGTTTATAACTAAAAAAAGTACATATTTTAAAACTAAACACACTGTCATCCTTTTCTCTTTCTACTTATGAAAATGCCAAGTTTAAGCTGAAACAAAAAATGTCGACTAATTCTCAAATCTACAGATGAGATTATTATTTAATAATTTATCAACTATCTAATGTAAATAAACCAACTAGAAATTGAAGAATGCTTAAATGCATGGTCTAACTGTGTTATTATTGAGATAACCATATTAAAAATCATGATTTGTATAATTTTATCATGTAGAAGAGATCTCACTTTAAGAAATATCATTGCTAAACAAAGTGACCTCACAAACATGTAGGCACTGATAGATGATGTTTTAATGTGCTTGCTGACTTTATTTTTCTTTCAGGAAAACAGCTGAAACCTATTTTTGTAGTAGAAGCACATTAAACAGAAAAGAAGAGGCCATAAATATTTCAATATTAATGCAGGAAGTCTCTCTCCCTTTTAACTCTTCAGCATTTAAAGTAACATTGGTCAAATTTGAAGATAAATCTTTAAGGTTGACCAGGTCAATTAATTAGATAATTAAAATAATTACTGTAGGATTTACACAGCATTAAGTGTGGTCTGAACTGCTGGGCCAGAGACACAGCCTTGTGGGTAAGACCTTGCTTTACTTACAGCCAACCATGGCTTGATTCTTAGCACAGTATATGATCCCCGCTGCTCACAGGTAGGAATAATTCTGAAGTGCAGAGCTAGGAGTAAGCCCTGAGCACCACCGAATTTGGCACAAAAGCAAAACAAAACAAAACAAAACAAAATGAATGGCTCTACTGAATGGACAGCTGTACTCAAGACTATGACATACTGGCCAAGAATGTAATACATTTATACAAATAAATAATCAGATGGAATACTTCTACTTTTCTCAGTGCTAATTTGTTAGAATAACAAATCCATGTATTTCAGATAATTTTGGAAAATTTCATTCAGCAAGAGGTAATAAGTAGGTTTTTTGTTGCATGATATATGAACTACATATTGTACAATATATGAGTGTATCCACATTTCATATCACATATAGAACAGAGAGCAAAGTAATACATGTTGCAGCCAATATTGTGCTCATTAATCATTAGTTGAGAATAAATTGCCATCCTATGTTCATTATTTTGCAATGAGCTCCCTTTTTCTTCTTCCCTGATACACATGGTTGCCTCAAGATTTTCAGTTTTGCTCCCATGTAAGCTCCTGAAATGTTCTGATCATTAACATACATTTAACAGTTTTCCACTTGATTGATTTTACTGTTATCACCAAAGATTGAATGTGTTTTTTAAAAGAGTTCCTCAACATAGGTTCTAGAGAACTGCTACGTACATAGAATTTACATTTCCAACTTTGACACTTTAATATCTCATGACCCTGAGTAATCACAGTAATAATAGTTCTTGGATTCACCATATCCAATTACTGTTTTATATATATTTAATATTTTGATTTATATAATTCCCACTAAGGTTCTATTATAGGGAATTGTACCATAAATAATGATGACACATTGAGGTACAGAAAAATTACAAAACTTCCTCAGGTACACAACTATAAAGTATACAACTTGCATGTAAATCAAGGAATTCTATAGTTAGAGCACCATATTTTAATATCTAAATATTCTATGCAAAATAATGTAATAGTTACCACCTATATTTCAGTGGTCAAGTAACTTATAACATATTACTTCCAGTTACAATAGTTTCAATAGAATATACAAAAAAGTCATAGTATCATGACAATATGAGCAACCATGCAGTAACTATGGCATGACACTGGTACATAAATGCCACATAGAATAATCTCTTATTTTACCATTTTGAGTAGTTTTTGACTTTCCAAAGTTTCATAAATACTTATGGGAGTCTGAGATCCAAATGAATCTTTGAATTTGTGATCTTTTTTTCTTAGAGTGTGAAGTTGTGAGTGTGCATGATGCATACATATGTATATAAAATATGCTCTTTGTGGTTGGCTTAGGATTATATTTGAGTTCTGACTTGGATATTTAAATAACAAAATTAAAATTAAAAAGTATGGCGTATAAGTAGCCATATCTTTGCATGATGTTATATTTAGAAAAACACATCTTATCCCAAGAAATCTGTGCATACATTAATTATTTATTTCTGTGTGACAGGAGAAAAGAAACATTCTATATAAAAACACACATGCAGAACTGGAAGCTGAGCTCATTACTAGGATCAGTTAGTTACTCACTTATTGGATGGAATATTGAGTGGACAAGCACAGGGCTGACAGTCTTCAGAGGTTCCTTTAGTAGGATCGCCATAGAAACCATGAAGACATTGATTGCAATAAGGGCCACCTGTGTGATCCTTGCAGTCCTGAGGAGAAATTACACATGAGAGTTTATTATTTTGGTCTCAAGTATCGAAACCTTACCAAAATAGTTCTATAATGTCACTAGTCTGTTTCATATCAGAAAGAATAACTTTATACATTAAATGACTACATTTATGGCCAGGAAATGGAATTCAAAATAAATTTAATAGCTAAAGTACAACCGTGCTTCAGTATGTGCATACTTACATATATACATATATATAAAAAATGATGACTAAAATTACACATTATTTTGTTATACAAATTGTGCTCTAGGTCGGCAAATAGTACGGCAGGTAAGGTACTGGCTTTGCACATGGCCAAATTTGGTTTGATTCCAGCATTGTACAGAGTCCCCTGAAGAACACACAGGAATAAACCCTGATATCAGCTGGGTGTGATCCTCCAGAAAAAAATTCTCTCCCCACTTAAAAATTTTTTTAAAAAGTCTCAACTATTTTTAGTGTTTATTTTTTTTCTTACAAATATACATGTGATCATACTTTTTGTGTGCATGTGTACACAGTTATAGAATCCCATAATATGCTTTGCTGAAAATTTTACTGATTTCAGATAAAATTATTGTTTAAATTATAATTGCTGATTTAATGAGTAATGAAGCCTATCATCGACCCACTCTGAGAATTTGGCCTTCTTTCTTCAGAAACCAATTTGGATTTCTGTGGGTCTGGTGATTTGAACAATTACTAGTACTTTTTTTTATCTTGAGGCACTTACATCATTTGAACTTAAACATAGATGTTAAATTGTTTAAAATATATATACAATATGCTGGGGCTGGAGCAATAACACAGCAGGCAAGGTGTTTGCCTTGCATGCAGCCAACCTGAGTTCAATTTCCAGCATCCCGAGCACCGCCAGGAGTAATTCCTGAGTGCATGAGCCAGGAGTAACCCCTGTGCAGCTCTAGGTGTGACCCAAAAAGCAATATATATATACATATATATATGTATATATATATATTGCAATGAACCACCAAGACTCTGAGGAAGTTATACAATTTGTCTGTACCTCAGTATGTCATCATTAGTTGTGGTGAAACTCCCTATATTATTTTTGTGTGAATTATCTAAATTAAAATATAAAATGTATCTAATACCTTTCCTCAGTCCTTTTTAAAAGAAATTTAAATTTGTATTTTTCACCAATTAGAATTTTTGTTTTTGTTCATTAGTTCATTGGTTTGGGGGTCACATCTAGTGGTTTTCAGGATTTACTCCTGTTTCTGCACTTAGGAACCATTCCTTGTGATGCTCAGAGGGACCATATGCAGTGCTGAGATAAAAGCCAATTTAAGGACATGCAAAACCTTACCCACTGGACTATATCTTTGACCCCTACATCTAGAATTTTGGGGATCTTTGTCTGTTAACGAATACAAATATCAAAATAATTTATTCCTTGATTTCTTTTTTTTAAATAAACAACATCAGTAAATCTGTGTTAACAAACTCATCAATATTGGTAGTCAATAATTCGTTCAACTTAGGAAAGGAATTCCCTATAAAACTCTCAATAGCAACAAATAAATCTCAAAGAGAGCTATAAACTGCAGAGAAGTCTCAGACACAACAACAGGCTGAACCTCATTTCTGAGGCACCTAGAGGGGAATGAGTGAGCCCAGAAATGGTCCTGAAAGAACCCTGGCAGCCAAAAACCTCCAGAACCCAAATGCTACTATGCTCACAGCTGAAATCTCCACAGGCTTAGGACAAGCCCCTTCTGCCCCTTTAATATGAGGAGAAAATCAATAAGCTATCAATTTACTTTAAATACTGCTGAAAAACTCAGATATGTGACTTTTGTGAGAAATCTCCAGGCTCTCACTGAATTAGGAATGGATGACCTTCCCCCATTTCCCTGTCTTTCCCAGAGTCTGGCGGTCATGACCATGAACTGCCTCCAGCACCATTATAAACTCATTAACTAATGGTCATGAGCTAGAGACTCATAAAAAAAAATCTCGGAAGACAGCAACAAGCTGCAGAGATGTTTCCAGATCCCAAAGTTATCTCCAATTGTATCATCCTGTTTAAAATTTAAGAATCCCTATAGAAATTTCATACTCTACTCCACCGATGTGCCAAGACTAGCATACCACATTTGATGGGGTTAAGGTAGAAGGCAATCGATCTCGATCCAATCCAAAAATAAATAAATATTAGCACACAAGTCTCAACATGCAACAACATGTTAGTAAACTCTTCTATAAGGGCTTAATGACTCTAGGGTGAGATACAACAATCTTCACACATCTCCCTCTAAACTTTTTTGGATCATTTTCAAAGTACTCTTCATAACAAGTCACACAAAATAAATTATTTAGGACCTTCTCTTGGGACAGGCTTGGGTAGTAGTGTGAAAATTCAAAATAATGGTGGTGGGATTGGTGTTGGAATATTGAATGTAATAAATTGTGGCCAACAAGTTTATCAAAATAAAATAAAACAAATCTCAATGGCACAATTTTACAATTTTCTTTTGTATTTTGCATTATCAACTGTGCTCAGGGCTCACTCCTGGCTTTTTGCACAGTGATCACTTCTAGCAGTGTTCAGGGGATGATATGTTATGCCAGAGATCAAATCTGGGTAAGGCACATGCAAAGTAATCACCTTTGTGACATGCTATCTCTTCAGCCTCTTATTCCATTTTAAGGTGTTTCTGTTTGAACATATTTCTTCACTCTATGATGTTATAATAAACGTCCCTAACTTTAAAACATTCATTGTGGTGGCAGGGAGACAGCTCATTTGGTAAGTACATACTAACTAGCATGTGCTGTGTCCTGAGTTCAATCCTGACAATGCAGGGATACTGAGTACCAGAGAGGTAAGCCTTGATGGTCTCCAAGTACCACTGCCTGAGTACACTGCTCTCTGAGAATCAGGACTGGACTCTGGGCAGCTAGTAAGGGAATAGTTCCCTTTCCCCAATACCACTAGATGTGGCCTTTAAATAAAAGATTTGCTGTAAATACATTATAATTGAAACACAATTGTTTTATTTTAAAACCATATGAATTTATATTTTCCAATCTTTAAGAGTGTTTATGAGAGTTAGGAGGATACAACCTTCTTTTTTTTCTGATCAATAATCAAATATGAGGAGAAAATCAATAAGCTATCAATTTACTTTAAATATTAAATATGAATTTATACATTGGGATAACTATTAGGACAACCAGCCAAATTTAATGATTATTATGAACTGTATTTAACTCAGTATACCTCTAAGGAAGTTTAATTTTAATTAAGGTAAGGTAAGGTAAAGGCCCTCCCGTTGATCGTCAATTTGCTCGAGCGGGCCCAGTAACGTCTCCATTGGAGACTTTGTTGTTACTGTGTTTGGCATATCAAATACTCTCGGTAGCTTGCCGGGCTCTCCGAGAGGGGTGGAGGAATCGAACTCGGGTCGGCCATGTTGGCCGCGTGTAAGGCGAACGCCCTACCCGCTGTGCTATCGCTCCAGCCCTTAATTTTAATTATATTAATTATATTTAATAAGTGGAATTAATTTAAAAAAGCATAATATGCATATTTTTTCTTTTAAATGTATCTTATTATATTCCATAGAGGGAGGGGAATATGTCTTTATTGAATAAAGAGTATTTAGTTTAAGTTTCAATCATTTGACTTTCTTTTCACTTACTACCTGTAGAGTGAGGGCACTAAAGCCTACAATTTATGAAGTTTCCTATTTTGAAATATTCAGCATCCTCAACTACAAGTGAATAAGTAATGCCTTAGTACCTGGTGATTCTAGAAAATAGATTTTTCTTTAATTTATTTGAAATGCTTTCTCAAATTGATTGAGCAACTCCTTTTCAAAGATAGCGCAGAGGTTAACTTCAGTATGAACAATTGTCTGCATAAAAGCATAGTAGATGAAATGTGCAAAATAGCATCAGTTGAAAAAAAGGCGATCACCTTTGATATCTTTGTATTCATTTCTTTCAGTTTTCAAGTTGGGCAAAAACTGGCTATTATTAGTTCTTCACAATATTTTATACAGACACACTAAAATTATATCTTTAAGTGTGGTGGCTTTGCAAAATAAGAACACAAAATTAATTATGCCTGAACACATATAAAATATTGCCTTTAGAACTTAATTAAAACTTTACATGATTCAGACACTTTATTATAACATTTCGTCCTCTATTAAGTTTTCTAAGGTTATATTATTTCCATTTTCTCTTAATAAAAATAATAAAAATTTATCTGAAATACCAAATATTTCTTTTTAAATAAAAACTATATAAAATTTTTATACAACAACTCAACACCAAAAATTATGAAAGGTTTGTTCTGGCAGATTGGTAATTTTTATAGGTGTTCTGCTATGAACATATTTTCCGAATGTCTGTTCACATCATATCACAAACACAATAAGGAAATTGTACACAATCTTCCCAAGTGGCTGCGAATGTTTCCTGGGTCACTGCCAGTGTTTTCTGTGTTCAAATAGCTTTTTTTCCCCCACAGGTCTACACTATAACGGAAGTATGTCCTTTGATCTGATGTCAAAATGTTCATTTTAATTAATTTCCAATACAGAATTAAATAAATGAGTGGTTAATTAAAATTATATGTTTAAGATTTAGGAGTATTCATTAAAAAATAAAAGAAGCTAGTATGCTGATCAAATAAAGAGTAAGAACATCCTTGTTGTGTTACATTCAAATCTTTTTTCCCTCTCTCTATCAGATCAGGCTTACAATTGATATCAGCACTTAGTTATCTATAATATTTCAGGACATTTGAAAATCTCCATAAAGTCTTCCATTCTTAGAAACATCACATAATCAAATGAAACAAAAGCATGATTTTACTTATTCCTACTTAGTTCACCATGAAATATTACTGTTAGAGACATTGTAATTTTGGAGTTAGATATCTTCATTTTTTCTAGGTTTAAATAAACAAAGCAGTGTCAGTTTGGAGCTAGGTATTTCCCATAGTAAGCTATAAAGTGTTTAGAGGTAACACAATATTTCTCCCAAGGTACATTTTAAAAGACTTATGTTATAATTAAAATGAAAATCACTTAGTCTCTCCATCATAAAAATGCCACTTGAAAAATCTACTGATCTACAAATTAAAGCTAACATGCTTTATACTGTGATGCAATTAAACAAAATCTTTCACAGAGAAAATAAAAAGAGCATCAATAAACCTAATGCCAAATTACACCGAAACAAAAGCCCTAAATTTTCATTTTGGATTGTTCCCAGAAGCTTTTAAGAAGAAAAAAAAATACAGTGTCAGAGGGGGTATGTATATGTGAGAGAAAGATAAGTTTAAGAAATACAGATAACAGAGCTTGCCTAAAACTCTACAGGGAAATAAGAGTATGATATCCTTCTAAATTGGCACTGTTTCAAATTGTGTTTCTGCAAGACTAATGAAATGAGAAATGTTGTTTCAAGCTTCATACCATGTCAGACAATATAAAGCTAGCATGCTCTTGAGTTAATCAGAATGGTCTATTCAGAGTAATTCCTCAATCCAAAGGCTTCTTAGCGTGATGGAAAGTGTTTCAGTCTTTTTTTCCCTGGCTAAAGTGCACACTTAAATGTAGAAGAGATAAACAAATCTAATGAATATGTATTGCACACTTTTATTATTTCTAACTACATAGATTTTTATATGCAGTTGGATGTTGAAAACATTTTGCTACTAATGAGTTAGGTTCCCCCTTATTTCCCTGTGTTGTTATGACCAGAGGTCAATACATGGTTGCTCGGCTCTTGAAATAAGGTGTGTTTCTTAGAAGAATCACCAACTTTCGTTGTGCTCACACACACAGTTGGCTGTGTGAACGAGAGCTTGTACACTTGTAACTGCCAATCAGTAAACACTGCAGGCTAGGTTGTGTTGGGCATCTGGAATTGATCTAGTCCTCAAGCTCTGCCACCTTGCTCCCCCAGGCCCCTAAATGTTAAAAATTTAAAAGAAAAGACGAATATGCAGTTTTCTCTCATATTTGATGCAAAAAAATAGAATTCTTCCTATTAAAATGGATATATTTATATTTTTATCTTATAGATACAAAAACTATTTCCTGCTCTAGTACTACAGTCAAGAGAGAGAGAAAGAGAAAGAGAGAGAGAAGACCTTATAAATTTATAGAAAGGCATGGGCCCTACGTATTTATGGCAGATATGTATTCTAGTCATTAGTGTTTTATTATACTATATCTGATCCCAGTTCTGTTCTTAAACCATTAAGAATAAGTATTTCCTAATATATGTTAGGAGATCACACAGGAAAGAGCATTCTCAGCTTCCAACTCAGTTCAGTATAAAGACATCTGTCAAACCACTTCTTGACTCTAATGTTTAAGGTCCCAAAGGCAGTAATTGAATTGCAGAGCTTATTGAGCTGATTCCAGTCATGTCAATCAGTATCCTCCGAGGAGGAAACACTTACCAGGCATTCAGCAGTGACATCATCGCAGGACTCTGCATGACCAAAGCACTGACAGGCTTCACAGACGCCACCAAAAATAGTGCCATTCACCCGTCTGTGTCTAGGCCAACAAGACTGAAAAGAAAGAGAAGCCTTCAAATCAGCTGAGGATTTTTTTAAAGTTTGTCTTTTTTATTTTTAAGATAAAGGATGATAACTAGGTAGTAAACTCAGCAAATGTGCTTGTTAAAGTGTAATCATTATTGAAACATTGCCACAGGGCTATTCCTTCTAACACTGGGGCTTCGTACTGACCTTCGTGTTATTGGCAGGTATGAGATTAGAGGAAGCATTAGCTTGGTGTCTTTTCTGAAATGGTAAAATAGAGCAGAGATATAAGGAATTGAAATGTGACAGTTTCAAAGTAAAAGCACAGACAAGAAAATAGAAAGAAAAGGTATTGGGGATAAAAGCAGCCAGCATAAAAGGATTTCTCTGAGAACCTTAACCTTAGAGAACACCTCATGTCATCCCAAGGAATATGAACTTTCTGGAGTATGCCCTTCTTCTCACATGTGGTCTGCCCTTAACAAAAATCACTTCACTTTCCAAAAATTCTCTCATATTTGGAAGAAAGACAGTGCCCCATTTTACATTTGATCACACACAGTTGATTTTTACACAATATATAATTCATATCTTTCCTTCTGTTTCCTCCAGCCTATTATGCTTTCTCAAATTTATACAATATACCTTATGATTTATTTATTATATATCCTCTTGGTGTTTTATGGCACTATTCTATAAGAACTTTATGTACATTTATCATTCCATGTTTGAAATATAAAACATTGTATTAAAGAAAATCAGAATTCTGATTAAAAATGGTATTTTGGGGTTTTGGGGTGGCTTGTGTCAACAACAACTCTAAGACCAATGTGACCCTTAGTTACAATTCTCTTCTGTGGGGTTTACTTGAAGGGCTGCAAATAAGAGTGAAGCAAATATGGCTGTCCTCTAGCAGCTTATGATCTTCCTCAAGACAGAACTGCATTTGGTGGGTTACTTACTATAATGCTGGATGGTTAAATGCAGCATAATATATCATGAAAAAGATTTTTTTTTCAGTTAAAAAGAAAGAGAGAGAAAAGACTGAAGTAATAAAACATATAGAATTGCATTGTTTGTCTATTGTTGGAAATGTTACTCCTGCCTCAGGTTATAAGGTCTGTTAAATTTGAACATCAATAACAGATACATAAAATGGATGTGCTGATACCTCACATCTGAGAGGAAAACAAGAGCAATTTTCTTCTTAATTTAGGCAGTGCAAAACAGAGGTGTCAATTTTCTATTCATTTCTAATCATCTTTCCACATTAAAATTGTTGTCATTCATTGTAGAAGTTCGTTTCCATAATATATTTTTCTAAAAGTTGGTAAAGCTGCCTTTCTTGATGTAGATATTAAGAATGTTGATTTTAGCTGCACAAATGATGTACCTTTTAGTGATAGATTTTTGTAGAGTCTTTATCAACATTTTTAATGTTCAAGTGTGTTCCTATCACACCATCTTCAAACTCCTCAACTGCTTACTCATTTCTATGATTAGTCAATGATTCTTCTTATCAGCCATTAATTAAAGTGAAACCAATTGGTACTTGTGTTTCTACTACCAAACCCACAAGCAGTAGCAACTTTCTCCACCTGTCAAATGCAATTCTTGAACAGAGATGGTGTGCCATGCAATATTTTTCCTCTTTTAAAAGACTACAGTTCTACCTTTAATCAATATACTATGATCTAGTTGCTTAGCCACATTTCCTGGATGCACTAGTAAAAAACTTTTCCAATGGATTATTACCATCATCTTAAAAATAAAATCTTGAATCCTTTTTAAAACAAAAGTACAAAAAATGGCAAAATAAATGCCTCAATATTTTATTCTATACCAATGGCCTATCTCTTTATGTTTTTCATTAAAAATATTATATAAAAGTCTTCCTTGGCTCTTTTTTATGCTTCATTTTATTCTAATCTTTGTGTCTCCACCATTCAATTTTTAAATATCTTATCTGTTTTAACAAATTTCAGGAAGTCAAATCCACTGGATAATATAAACTCTTCTACCAACTTGCATGGCACATTTTTTCATATTTCTAGCCAATTGTGTCTGTTTCCTCATTGTTTTTTTTAACCTTACTTCTCATGAATTCCTAGCGGCTTGATCAGTTTAATTGTCCTCATATTCTTCCTGAACTAAGTTTGCTCAGTACTATAGTTAACGATGTTGATAGAGTTCGACATATTCATATACAAACTTACTGACATTTACATTCCATAGTCTTTGCAAACCAAATATTTCTAAAATATACAGTTGTGTTTAATCCCACCTACCAACTATCTCTCTCACAGACTTCCACTTCCACAGAAAGTGCCTCCACAATCACTTAAAGCTCAAGAAAGTAATCTATGAGTTATCATAAACTCTACTTCTTTCCACCTTCCTCTGGAATGTAGTTTCCCCTGGTAAGGAGTTTAACAATCAATTCTACAGCTTTATACATTTTTTTTGTTTGGGGGCCAACCATTCAGTGATACTCAGGGGTTATTCCTTGCTCAGCACCCAGGAATTATTCCTAGAAGTGCTAGGGGACGATATGGGATACTAGGAAATAAACTCGGGTTAGCTGTATGCAAGGCAAGTTCCCTGCCTGCTGTGTTATTGCTCCATACCTCCTAAAATTTTCTTAAAACAACATTAATTATCACAATATCCTCCCATAAAAACATATCAAATATTCTTTTACAATGGTTTTGTTTTGTTTTGTTTCGTTCTGTCTTGCCCCATGTTCAGCTTTGCATTAGAGTTTACTCTTGACTCTTTGCTCAGAGATCATTCTTGGCAGGGATCTGGGGACATTAAGCATTGCTGGGGATAGAACCTAGGTTAGCTGCATCTGAGGCAAGTGCCTCTCTGCAGCACCATATTTATATACTGTAGTCACAAAAATTTGTTTTTAGAAAATATAATTTAGATTATCATGCAACCTTAATTAAAACCTGAGATATCTTGTCCACATGAAATAAATCTCGAGTTCTTATTATTCATGTGGCACTTCTTACGGAATGGCTTCTTCAATCACATCCTGTGTAATTCTCTCTTTGGCTTCATAAGCTACAAATATTCCTGCCAAGTTTAGGATCCAGATCAACTCTAAAATCTATTCCACTTTCTCATCAGTCTTTATATAGCTGACCCTCTGGTTCAATATCCTCAATATTTCCTGTTAAGAATACTTAAATACTCCTTCTCATCAAATTTTCCTATGCTTGTTCTCAGATCCTTCATCAAATCATGTTACTTAATTTCTTCATGATATTTATCACAATTATTTTAATTTATTTTCTGTCATACTGTCATCTATCACTAACGCAATGTCTATTAGGACAGTGACCATATCCATAGTGCTCATCGTTTTATCTCTTATGTTTAGATTCTTAATCATATAACAATGCATAGCCCATGCCTGTTCATAAGATACAAACACTTCTATGAGGTAGTTAATATTATTTCTATTATATATGAAAAGAAACTGAAATTTTTATCAAAAATTTTGCTTTTACTTTCTCACCTGTACCACCTGTCAAATTAAATTATAATGGTGCTGGGAAAGAAAGAAAACGTTTAATGTTGAGCTGTGAAAGGATTTATAAGAAGCCAAGTAGAACTGAGAAAAAAAAGGATTCTAAATCAATATTGAAATAAATGAAACAAAAGAGAATGATTTTATAATGGACTCCTCTGATCTACTGGGATATATGAATATCAGTGGTTAAGGTAGAATAACTGGCTTTGTGAAATAATTGAAAAATAAAATGAAGTAAGAATGGATAATAGCAATCTGGGGATAGGAAGATTTGGTAAAGAAATGAAACAATCACTGGAGAGTAGAATAAAAATAAATCATCCAAAATTGTGGAGTTCTAGGATTCATAATCACCTGATTAAACTAAATTCTCTAGTGAACTTCAAAATAATTTTATTCATCAAGCAGCTATTTGAAGATATAAGGTTTTCATTATCAATCTTCTGTCTCTTTATTCTAATTCTTTCACAAGTGAATGTTTCTTTCTTCTTATTTTTTTTTTTTGTTAACATCAATTAGCATCCAATATGAGACTTTTCTGCTCTAGACTGCTTCCTGTGACATCACTGCTCACTGGGGTGAAAATATCTCTGAAAGATTACTGTACTATGTTCTACGCCACTTAGTTGTTCACTAATTAAATAGTGCTCTGATTCAATTTTTCATTTCAGGTATTTATTGACTCCTTAAACTCACCGCTAGGTCTTTAAGGACAAGGGATATGATGTAATCATCCTCATAATCCACTCATCATTCAGAGCACAATTGCCAAAGATTGTCAATAAATATTTTTGAATAAAAACAAAAGAGAAAGCTAAATGCTTAATGAATTCAGCAATTCTAATATTTAGACACCTTTATATTCAATAAGTACGTACAAGTTTCATAAATTATATTGAATACTGAGGACAACTAGTGTGGGAAGAAAGTATTAAACCAAGAAAGGAATCAAGGTATTAACTATTTCAATTGAAATGAGAGCAGTCCTCTTATTTGGGAGAAAAACATCTAGAGTCATAAAAGAATACATCTCATCAAATACAGCATGCATGTTACGTACAAAATTAAATTTAGTTGATAGATAGTTTAATGATCATTTTTCTCTTCTTTAGATGAAGTTTGGAAAAAGAAGCATTTCAATGAATCACATTCAGTTTTATTTTTAGAAAAGTGAATCTTAACCCAGTGAAAGAAAACATTTTTTCACAAATATGACTTTAAACCCTGTAAAGCCTCTGCACATATGCATTACTTTAAAATACAAGTGAACTGACAAAGCAATGCCTGGAGTATTTCTATAAATGGCATAATGGACAGCACGCTGAAGTGGAACATCTTAGTACACTCAAATGATTCCTTAAAGGCACCATTTTTAAAGAATTTAAACTCCTACTTATTTACAAGCTATGTTTCTATGAAGAAAATGCGGTTTACTTTGAAAAAAATGTTACATCTAAAATCAACTTTTTAAACTATCTGAGAAAAATACATAGAAGTAAACAATGTTTTTAAATATTATGCTATGGACTAATTTGCATTATTAATTTTATTATAAATATATACCATTAAACAACAACAATATACCAAAAACTTTAAAATTTTAGGAATTTTCTTCATTAAGAAGTTTATCTATTATGTTTTACTTATTATATTTGAAAGACTGTATTCATCAGTTGTTCGTGATTGTTATTAAGTAAAAGCAGGAAAAACACATCATGAAGAACAAAATTAAAAGTGTAGAAAATACAAAAGAAAAACAAGTGCTAGATTCCTGTTAAGTACTGAGGTAGAGATGAAGAAAAATTATTTCAATATATTAAATATTATTCTGCTATCTCCATTCTTTTTTTTTTCACACAGAATAAGCAGGGGCCACGTAGGCAGCACCATATAGTTAGTTAAAGTTAAACTGTATAATTTATTCCTCCGTCCGTCTTGGAGAGCCCGGCAAGCTACTGAGAGTATCTCGCCCGCACGGCAGAGCCTGGCAAGCTACCCGTGATGTATCGATATGCCAAACACAGTAACAACAAAGTCTCCAATGGAGACGTTACTGGGCCCACTCGAGCAAACTGATGAACAATGGAGGACAGTGACAGTGACAGTGATTTTAGACATTATATGAAAAACACTGTATTTGAAAGCCATGACTTTCCGGCATTCACCTTCCACAATGAACTATCATTTGTTTGTATGATGGAGAAAAGCAACTCCTCTAGAACTGTTATCAAAAGAGTTATTTAAAAAATGTAGAAGAAACTGAGGGTATAATTCTGCAAACCTACTTCACAGGAAGAGCCTGTATACCCTGCTGGACACTGACAGACTTCCACAGCCACTGCAGTTCTTTCATTAGGAAACTGAACCGGATAGGTGACAGCAGATTCCAGACCAACAGAACCCAACCTAGAGTGTAAAAGAGAAGACAAGGTAAATAAGTAAGCAGACTCTAAGATTTGACACAACTTGAAGGATAGCAACATGATGTAAACAGTAGCAAACTAATGATGTGGAGAAATAAAACTAATGAATAACCAAGGTTGAAACTCTGGTCATTCGTTATACAGGTACAGTCATCCCTGTCAACATGTTCATAATCGCCATCACAACCAAAGATTGTGGTGAAAATATTTCTACTCATATCTTGTGTTTGAGACGAATGCTTTATTTTAATTTTTATTTATTTTGCTTTGAGGGTTGCATCCTGGCTTTAGGGCAAGGATTACTCCTTATCTGGTTCAGGGGACTTAATATGGTAGTTGAGATGGAGCCCGAATTGACTGAGTGCAAGGCAATCACTCTACTTTTGTTCTGGCCCCTCTTTTTATTTCTATTTTTGGATATTGTTTTAAGTCATAGTTGAAGGAATTTTAAACAAACAAAAATATAGACATTACTGCTATACTTTAATACCTAAACTAGAAAAGTAGAGAGAAATAATATTATTGATATTCATTGAGTCTAAGCTATTCAATTGAAAAAATAAGATGGGGAGGATTTTTTTTTTCTTACTTGTTTTAGTACCACAAGTAAAGTTTCTGAAATGGTCAGTTGAGTTGTTTAGAACTACTTTGTTTTAAATTTGGAGGCTTAAATTAAGTTGATTACTCCTGATATCTATATGTTTTATTTATTACTTATGTATTATTCTTTAATTTTAATACAGTGATGTGCTGCTGGTATTTTAGGTTAAAGCTGTTTTATCTGTATTAAAAAAGCTCCTATAAAGTGGCATATTTGGTTATTATAATATATGTGTATACAAATATTCATACATAAATACATACATATGTATGTTTCCTTCCGAAATAACAAAAGCTTCTGATGCATTAATGATTTAGATAAATGTAATTATTGCTTTATTGGTTTTGACTCTAGGCCTCAGTATTTTTTGTTTGTTGTATTTCTTTTGGCAGTTCACATCTGTCAGTGCTCAGGGAGTACTCTGGTTTTGTTCAGGAATCATTCCTAGTGAGACTCAAGGAACCATATGTGGTGCCAGAGATGAAAGATGAAACCCAGTTGACCATGTGCAAGGCAAATGTCCTACCTTATGTATTATCTCCCTGGCTCCTAAACCTTAATATTTGTATCTAACTAATGAGGAAATATGAGTTCATATGACATATACTTTATATACATTAAAATGAAATAAAAATGTAACATTGTTCCTGTGATTTATAGTATTGTAATTATAAATATAATTTTATTAATACACTCTCAATTGTTGAAATAAGATAAAATGGCAGTAGTACAAAATTTTTATTTGTATCTTCAAATTTAGTATTCATCATTTTAATGTATTAAAATAAAATGTGAATAGAGTAAAAGCACAAAATTAAATCACTATTATTGATTCACAATAATAATTACTGTTTTTATAATAAGTTACAGGCTTCATAACACTTAATATTCTATCCTTTAACCATAGGGAACATAAATGAATAATTCTTAAATTTTAAGTTGCTATCTCAAGAATGGTAATAGCTTTTTACTGATTGCAGTTTCCCACTTAGTAAAGAGTTTGTCATACTTTTGAATTTACACTAAAATCAAATCAGAGAACAAAACTAATGGGCTGATTAACATTTTCAAAAGTGTAAACTTTTCAGAACAAGTTTCTCAAATCTTTATTGTTTGTACTCCCACTTGACTAATCCTACACACTTGTTAGTACATTAAACTTTGTTTGAGTCCACGCATGGCAATGAAATATATGAGAGAAAAATCCACCCAAAAGTTGGACAGGATCATCATATGCACTGAGTTTTAGCTGGAATTCTCTAAAGACATGCTGATTACCTTTATCGGCATGTTTATCATGTAACACTACCTTTTTTTTAGGGGGGTGATGTGGTTGGGTCACACACAGTGGTGTTCAGAATTTGCTGCTTACTCCTGATTCTGTGCTCAGGGATTTCTCCTGGATGAAACAGGGAACTATATGGTGTTCTGGGGATCAAAACCAGGTTGGCAGCCTACAAAGGAAGCTCCCTACCTGTTGTTCTCTGTCTCTGATCCCAGTGTAACACTACTTTTGAATGCTCTCTTCCCTTGGGGCACAGTTTACATTATCTGTTAAAGGTCCTTATCTGAATGTATTTTAATATCTAGCTCACTGCATTATTGAACTGACACAAGAAAAACATATTCTGATAACTTTAATTTCAGAATTCAGTGATTTAATTACCTCTCTGTCCAGTGGTGGACTGAAGCGATAGCACAGCAGTAGGGCATTTGCCTTGCAAGCAGCTGACCCAGTCGAGCCAGGTTCAATTCCTCCACCCCTCTTAGAGAGCCCGGCAAGCTATCAAGAGTATCTCTCGCCAGCAAGGCAAAGCCTGGCAAGCTACCTTTGACATATTTGATATGCCAAACACAGTAACAAATCTCACAAGGGAGACGTTATTGGGCCCACTCAAGCAAATCAATGAGCAATGGGAAGACAGTGCAACAGTGCTATGTCCAGTGCTTACAATAAAAAAGATTGTCAAAATTTATTAAATAACAAGTTATATGGAGATATAGTTCCTTGTATTTTCAACATAATTATGTTTAATAAGGAAAATCTACAAAAAGATTATTGAAATACTTCAAAATAGAAAAGTGAGAGCAAATGACTGCTTCAGAGAATAATTTATAATAAAAAACAAAAATATTTTCAAAGAAATGCCAAATTTCATTAGTGTTTTGAACAACAGATGTTCCTCTCCTTAATCTATGTAACCATTTTGAGCTATGTTAAATTTCAACATTCAAACATCCTTTCCATCAAATCATCCTTTCTACATTAGCATTCACTAACAGCCCCAATGTTCATTAGGTTCTGCTATTTGTTAAATGAGATTTTAATGCGTTTAACAGTTTTAAGCGTTATTCATGAAGAAGGTTAAAGTTTTGTTTTGTCTTGTTTTTTTTCCTTCAATATGGTCATTTTCTTTTCTTGCTACCAGACTGTATTCATTTAAATACATAATTCTGGCAGAAATAAAATTGCTACACTTTGAAGATGCATAAAATATTAAAAATTTATCAAGTAAGTACTTACTTACTAAGTCATTACTTAGGAGTATGCATTAAATCATAGATGACAAGAAGGACATAATTACATAGCTTGATATTTAAAACATTGAAATGATATCAGAAGCATTATGATGGTCTATTGTTTGTATTTTGTTTTAATATATTTTCCAATCAACTTTTGTTATATTTTATTATTTAGTGCCTCTTCAGAAAAAGAAAAAAAAGATGTTATTTCAAAACTTTGACTTTTTCCCTATTTGTTTTCACATCAATCTCTATTTAATTCTATCTAAATGTATTATTCAGGTTTGGTCATGAAAAAATATTTTATTTCTGTCCAAGCTTCTTACTCTATTTTTTCAAACATTAACATTATGCTTAAAACTTCCATTAGCCTCTATCTAGAATTCCAACAAGTACTACTGAATTCAAAGAACCCAATTACTTTCCCTCCATTTCTAAAATTGGAAATAGAATCATGTAGTAATCTAGGGCAGTGTGTGCTGGACCATCTGGGAAAAGATAGAAATTTTCTCCAAGCATTTTTAATCTAAGTCAAGTAACTGATGAAATTGGATACTACTGTAGATATTCATAAAAACTTACAGTTTAGGGGCTAGAGCAATAGCACGTCATATAGGGCATTTGCCCTGCATGCAGCCAATTCAGGTTCAAATTCCAGCATCCCATATGGTCCCCTGAGCACCAGCAGGAGTAATTCCTGAATGCAGAGCCAGGAGAAACCCCTGAGCATCTCCAGGTGTGACCCAAAGAGAAAAAAAAAAAAAGAAACAAAAAAAAACCAAAAACCTTACAGTATATGATAATGAGAATTTATCTTTTCATCAGTAGTGCTATCAATACAAACTGAACACATTTCTGTCGTTCATTATACTTTCTCACGTGTACATATCTCACTTTTATAGTTGACTGTCATCTTTGAATTTAGTGATCATACAGTTTATTGTTATACTCTCTGCTTAGTCTAGAACTACCAATCTGAATAATTACTGCTTACTGCATGTCTACTTTCTTCTATGAACTATAATGGGGGGATTAGTAGATAGCACATTATGTATCAATGACCCCAACATACCAATCCTGCTTTATTTCCATTTACAAAAGAAGAACCTAATCCCAGAGATAAAATGTGCTTGACCAAAACAATGCACCTAGCAAATGATGCTGAAGAGATTCAGTGGCAGTGTGATTACAGATCTGATGATTCTCCTAGTACATTACATTGTCTCCCATTATATGTTACATAAGATAACATGTCAGGTTTTCCAGACACATAATTTTCCTGACCTTCAATCTTTTAGTTTAGATGTGATTTTTGCCCTTTTACTGAAAAGAGTAATGATATTTAGAACGTGATACAGGAAGGATATAGGGAGATCAATACTATTTTTATAAGCAATGAAAGACTTCCTTGAGTACAATTTTTCTGGGTTAATACACAAATTCTACCCAATAACTTTAGTATTCAAAAGAAACAAATTTACTCTAAATACTGCGTGGAAATATCTTTCTTTGAAAGATTCTGTACTCTAAAAAAATAAAGATGCTTGAACTGTATCACAATAAAATCATGGTTAGATTACTTATGCTGTATCTGACCAACAGCTCAAAATTTCCAGTGCATTAATAGAAAATAAAAGTTTTCTCAGGTAAATTCCTCTACAGGCTGTTTTATATTCTGATGTTGACTATGTGCCAGAAAGTTTCACAATGGAACTTTAGCAATTCTTGGAGAAGGTGAGAGTGGATAAATTACTTCTGCTCATATCATCGGCGAAAATGTCATATGAGCACATTTACCTCAAAAGACGAGGATATACATTTTCCACATAAAGGAAGTGATTGGGGATTTGATTAGTTGC